GTTCAGGAGGAAAATTACATTCTTTTTGTACATCTATTATTTAACTGTCAGCAAGGATGAATATTGTACTCTTTCAGCCTTGTGGAGAAGGTACAGAGAACCGTATTGTTGTGGCGCGTTGCTCCATTTGCTCCTTGTCATGTAAAAAATGGGGCCTTTCTCAGATGGTCAGTGTAAGGCTTCATCACTTCTATGTCATTTTCTCAGATAAGATTTTAATGTTGTGTCCACTCTGGCACTCTTTGATCCTCCTAGCTTTACATTTCACATCACGCCCGCAGAAGATGTCTCCACTGTAAGGGTATCTGATACTTCCCGACCTTGCCACTATCCTGTTGTCCCTGCACAGTTTTAATGCCTCTCTCTGTCATTATCAACTTTTGATTGGTACAGTTCGTGACAGTATCGGAGTTTCAGGATAATTGACAGGTTTTGGTCTCACAGGTTTGGAGGGCTTGTCTGTGCTGTAGAAACCATTGAACTGTGAAACTGAGCGAGTGAATTACCCCAGGAAGCACTGATAGGGAGCTGGGTGTGCGATGGGATGGTTGTTGAAGGTCAAACAGAAAATCATGCATTCACAGAATTATCAAAGACAGGCTGAGGACACTCAATGCAGAGAGCATGTTTGGAATTTACCAATCTCATCTTTTTGAAATGATAAAAAATGCTAATTCTGTTAGACCAAGGGTGGTTGACCTTGACATTTTTCCACAATTAAGGGCTTTTTCAAATGAATTTCTTGTTTTAGCATCTCAAAGAGCATTTCATAATAACTTTACTGTGACTCAACACGCACAACAAATACCAATGAGTCTAATGAACGACGATTTCCCCCACTCACACATAATAAGAGACAAACTGCAAAGTTAAACCAATCTCATGGAAGAAGGTGAGATTGAAATTCATTTCAGATTTAGATGATCAGATTGCAGGCCCCTCTGTAATTATTGGCATGAAAAAGCGGAGATAGATGGTGCCCGAGATAGGACAGTGTGCTTAATTCATCTTGATTCTAATCAGCTGATGAATCAAAATGCTTAATGTATTAATCAAATTAGTTTACATTCCATTGCTTCTCATTGAAATATCAAAGTGGAGTAGATCAAAGTGCAGTTTGATGAGATTCAATGTCTTTACCATGACAGATTTTTATAGGATGGTACCACACAGTCCAGCAGCTCCTTCATCACAGGATTTTTTCTTCATTTGAACACCTTGACCTTGATCACTCACATCAATGGAATCAAATGCTGTGAGGCCATTTGAGCGTCCGTTTGATTTCATTATTGCACATTACTACAGTCACTTCTGCAGGAGGCGAGTTAGTTTCACAGTAAAACCCTGGAAGTGGAAGCTAGAAGTACTATGACAGAGGTGCCAGTGGATGATTGGATTTTAACGCTGTTGACAAAGCCCCCTCAGCTGAAAGATCTGCCACAATCCTTCTTGGATCCTAATTGTCAGCACCGCTAAGCTGTTGGCAGTGATCTCAACCGGCATGTCAGTCGGTGGGACCCTGGGAGGACTTACTTTAGACCTCTACAATTACATCAGAATATTGAACCTGTGCTCACTTAAGAGGGGTTTTTTATGTACACGAAGTGTTTTTTTTTACTGCCGACACTTTAATGTTTGCAGCGGTGCAAGTCATGATTTTTTCAATTTAGGCTCATTTTACCTAAAAAGATTTAATTTCATTGTGTTTGATATTAGAAAGAAAATAGCTGCCCTGTCTCTGAGAAGAAAAATAAACAAATGACGTGTCTGTAAAGTCATCCAGATATCTTGTTTGTTGTTTTTTTATTTTCTCGCTTCCCACTAACCATATGGCAGTCAGATTTCAGACACAGGGTTCTGGAAGACAATCAAGGAACAAGATTGCTTTTTTAGGAAAGGGGATTGGTTTAACTAGATGTCAAATTAAAGGCCTTTTCACACACACCCACACACATACACACACACATAGGTGCATGTTCTTAACTGCCAGTGTACGTGTGTGTTCCTGTGTGTTCAGGCGTGTCCATGTTTTTGGGTGTCAGCGCTCGCTGTGAGGCGGTGAGGTCATGTACAGAAATCTGTCTCAGAGCACCACCTGATGGAATACCGCAACGCTTTTAAGGTCAACCGCACAAACTCTGCCACACAGGTTGATACAGGGACTCATGAATGTTTGATTGGTCTATTATCCAAGCCGGGCGGGGACATTCATCCCCCGCTTCTAGAATTCAAATATTCCTTTTAGTGTGACATTTCTCCTATACCGTCTGAGGCGAATCCCCAGTTTCACTCTCTCTCACCACACTGGGCTTCATCTGCAATGCTGTCATCTCACTGTAGGACAATTCTACAGAATGCGAATGTTTTTAAGACCAGTGCGAGCGCAGTATGGTTTCAGGTGGGTGGAACTAGGGAATTGATACTCAGTCATTCCGACACTCCTCTTCCTCCTCTGCAGGGTGGATAAGGATCTGGCCATCCATCTTTGTGTCTCACCCATGTCAGCTCGGGGTAGCACGCGGGTACCTGGTAGTCAGAGACAACAAGAACAAAGCAGGAACATTACTTTAATCTCTCACTGCTGTTAATTCCTACCTCTGCCGTCATCCAGAAGGCAGAGCTTTGTGTATCTCAGCTTCCCCCTTATGAACAATCCATCACTGTTAGTGCTTCTCTCTCCAGAGTGCGCTTGCTCTCTTCTTCTTTTTACCTGCTTGCTGCTATGCTTTGCTTTCAAAAGACGACGCTCACTGAAAGAACTGCAATACATTGTTTTCCACAGTTGACTGCTCATTTTCACATGCAGCAGCATCTTGACACTCCTCCCATTGGAATAAAACACACGTGAGCAGTCACATTTATGTGAAGGAATGCTGTCCTGCATTTTTTATGTGGATCTCTTAATAGGCTTTCAACAGTACATCCAAAATCTATAATTGACACCTGCTGTCAGGCTTCGTCGGTGATTACATAGGAAAATGACTTGACCTGTAATGAACTGTAAAACTAATGACATCTGTGTGAGATTACTCAACTTGAAAGCAAACTGTTGTACATGAAGTCCCATCAAGCGTGATATTAAAATGTCCACTTTTACATCTTTCCGCCCAAGCTCTGTAAAAGCCCAGGCTGTTGGGCCCAATGTGATGGAAACCTGAGGCTAATGACTCAAACAGACGGCCGTGGGCATTAGACAACTTCATTTATGAAATAGTCAACCTCCCGTGTAGCGATACATTCACATTACCCTGCCTCACTGGAGAGACGCATGGCTGTCACAGCCACTGAGCAATGCTGATGTCCTTTCCTACCTGCATTCATCTTACTCTTAGGAGGTAATGGTCTTCTCAGGTCATTTGCGCATTAGGGTCTCGATCAGTCTTCTCACCCACCTGCAATCCTGTGGATTCCTGTCCTCCACAGCACATAGCGGGATGTTTAGAAAGACAAGGAAAACATACATGCTCTGAATCATTCATTTGCACTCTTTGTCTTAAATCCCAATGCTGCCCGTGGCCTAAAATGTCTGCAGAAGGCTATTCATGAACATGCAGGTTATGTTCTAATGATTTGTGGGTATAATTTGCAGGTTTGTGTCTTGCGCAATTAATTGCTTGGGAGAAATCAGGGTTCGCTCCCTAATTCCCCTCCCCTATTTTATGATGTTGAATGATAATCAACTCTCTGTGTGGCAGCAGAATGTGTTTGCGGCTAAATGTTTTTAGCTTGTTAGTCATGGGAGTATTGGCTGGTAAGTGGTTGAGGTGTTTAATACATGTAAGAACAAATCTTAAACACATAATCTTCAAACGGAGCTGACTTTTCTAAATCACCGTTGTCACTGAGTGAATCAGTGGCTTTTAGCAGTGGAACTATAGATAAATATGTTATTTCCTCATCAGAATCCAATTAATAGAGCACAAAGCCACAGAAACAATCATGATATGATAACTTTGTCACACGTCTGCTGAGCCATTAACCTTAGCGGTGTCTGTATAGTCTGGTTTTTAATTGTTTGAACCAGCACCGCGCTGAACTTACTGCTGAACGTTGCGTCGGTATGAACAATAATTAATTCACTTACTGTTGAACATACTGGAGTGAACTGAAATGGTAACGCAGATGCTTATCTTAGAAATCTTTTACCTGACTGAACTGATTCATTGGTTCCACCGCTAATAAGTGGCACTGGAGATGTCAGCTAATGTAAAGAAAGTGAGATCATGAAGACAGTTTGATTCTAGCTTTACCTTGAGCACGGACAGGTCCAGCTGCCTGATAGAAGACAGGCGCATTAATCTCTTTAATGGGGATGATTCAGTCCCATGGGACATATGTACAACCATTAATCCGTTTTATGCTGAATGTAGCCTGTTCAACATTGGTATAATGTTGAAAAAGGGTTGTGCTCAGGTACACCGTCGGATCAGTGTTGATCAGTGTTGCAGAATTGTTTTAATGCGGTTTCACTCTGAATCTGCATTCAACATTCAGGGTCCATTTTGTTGTGTGAAGAAGAACAAAACATACAAGTGGCCCACAGACTTAAACGATTCCTCCAGGGTTCGGCATCACACTGTTCTCTTCCCCTTTTGCTTTTACTCGATGTGATACTACTCCCTGTATCTTTACAAGCTGTTTGGCTAACAGAGGTCACAGGGGATGTGTAGCGTGCTTGGTCACGATGTGAAAGCATTAGCTGGCGCCAGCAGGTGTGTAATTATATATGAACGTCACGATGGCATGTAGAAAGTAGGCCAGGAAGAAGAGACTTCAGAAAAGTCCTATTTATTCCTCACCCACTTCAAATGTGTGACTTCTTATTTGAAGTTGTGAAATAATCCAAGGTCACTGTAACTATTTCGGGACTAGTAAAAATAACATTAAACACACAACTACTTAACATGATAAAACAAGCCTCCAGAGCCGATTCTTTAAAAAGCATTTATTTATGTTGTGCCACCCAGCATGCTCACTGTTGTCTGTTTTCTGTGTTTCAGGTACGGTGACATGGTGCCAAAAACAATCGTGGGGAAGGTGTTTGGGTCCATATGCTCTCTGAGTGGGGTGCTGGTCATCGCCTTGCCTGTCCCTGTCATAGTGTCAAACTTCAGCCGCATCTACCACCAAAGCCAGCGGGCAGAGAAACGACGAGCCCAGAGGGTACTGACTCTCTCCCTCCCTCCGCCTCTCTCTTCCTTTTTCTCTCTATCTCTCTTTGTTTTGCTTCTATCTGCCTCTCTCCTCTGTCCCTGTCTTATCCGCGCGTAACAGAATGACAGGGCAAACACTATCTTCCAGAATATTAATCTTTTATTGTGTTTCTGTGTATGTGTGTATTGGGTGGGCTAAACCTGCTTGAGTATATTTCAGTAGGAGAAAGGAATAAGAGAGGGAATGACAATGACTGAACAAATGATCTTCAGAGTATAGTGTCAGCAGCTTTTCAATAGCAATATGTGCATTTCTTCCTAAAAGTGTTTGCTAAGGCAGAATTTTCTAATGGTAGATTTAAGCATAACCTCTCCCTACTAAATACTGTGGCTTCCAGAGGAAGACAGAGCCAATTAGTGTGACAGACAAACCGTCAGAGGCTAAAACAGAGGTCTGTTTGTTCAAACAGAAAACTCGGCTTGCTAGAATCCGTGCTACGAAGACTCGAGGCACTAATGCCTATATGCGCTACAAACAAAATGGGCTCCTGATCGACTCACTGGCGGAGGTAACGGGACCAAGCAGCGGCTTGGGGGCTGACTGACCGGGGCCTCACTGACGCTTGCATGCAGCTCTGCTTGGGGGCCATGCCACCACACATAGGGGAGGGGGCGGGGGGGCTCCTCATGCTGTAACACAGGGGCTGCTGTCATTCCAGTGCTTCTTCAGTGTGATCGTCCACTCTCTTACATCACACCTCTCAGCTGCAGCATTGACATGCTTCGTCAACACTCTCTCTCTGTCCATACAGCAGGGGGGCCAGGCAGGCACACTTGCCTTCTGGTGGAGCACGGCCATTACAGTCACACTGACTCATGACCAAGCTCTGCATGTCTGTCCAACAGGGTTTGGAGGGGAAGAAGGGAACCAGAGGCTTACTGGACAGTAGGTCGCCTATGGAGGCTGTCTGCTCAGCCTGCATCTCCTCTAAACTCTGTTTTTGATCTGCTGTGTGTTCTGTGTGTTATTTCTAGAGCATCCAGGTTGTAGTGCCGACTAACACAACATACCTTCCATCCCGGAGCCGTGCAGAGTGTTCATTAAAGTGTGGTTTTGTTGTGGTCTAGAATCTGTGTTGTGTTTAGTACAGTCTGTTCGATCTGTGTCTAGGTGTGCCACTGCTGTTGCACTGAAATAAGTTCAGTTCTAATTTGACTTTGCTGGTCTTTTTCACCAAATCAGCGAAAGAATGGCAAAACCAATTCTATCAGTGATAACATGTTGTAATTAGTCACTGTCTGTATGTATTTCTAAAACATCCCCATCTCACTAGGTTCTCAGTAGATTGGCTGCCGTGCTACAGATCAGCATTTCAACCCTCAGTGCTTTGCATACTCTCCACTACATCAACGAGCTAGCTATTGCCTGAAACTCCGTTCCTATGCAGAGTCATAACTTGCTCAGCTACACTCTATTTTTTTTTTTTTTACTTTTCTATTCGAAGGCCTCCAAGCAGGCAGGACGAGCCCTGGTGGGGAAGGCGGCTAACCCTCCTTTTGAGAGCCAGCATCATCACCTGCTACACTGTCTGGAGAAGACCACGGTAAAATCTCCTTTCTTCTAAAACTTAAAAGCTGTGTCTACTGGAAAACACACACAAACAAATCACTTTGGTATCTTTCATTTTTACTATGTTGGTAACAGTTTTTAACCAGTTTAAAATAGCTCACAGTAAATAATAGCTCCTTTTATGTGAAATTGCATCACTTGTGCACATCTGCGCTGTATCATCGGTAGTGCCAGTCTGGTACAGTGTGTTGCAAATAGAAACAAAGTGAGTCTTTTCATCCATGCACAAACTGTAGAATCATTTCATATGCATCACAAGTTAAAAATAGCTGAAAATGGGGCTGGGAAATGTCAAGTCCCCTCTCCAGCAACATGCTAAAGATAACATGACTCCACCAGCCAGTAACATTATTCCTTCCAAACAAACCAGCATACTTAATTTTACACTATCTATAATTTAGAGATGTAAGAGCCTCTTTAATGCTTGGTTGTGACATGAGTTTTACACTTGGTGCTCTAAACCCTGTACAGAGACTCGGACAGGCAGTAAATCAGTGTTCCCTTCTCATGGATGATCCTCCCCCCAGTAAAAAGCTTGCCAGTCGTCTGGGAATAGCTCTGTAAAGGCTTTGTGCAATTCAGATGGCAGCGCACATCTTTACATTAGTCTTCTCATAGATGGCAGAGTGCAGTGCAGGAGTGACAGAGAGATCATATAAGAAGGGGGTGCATGATCCAGGGCATGGCATCAGATCCTGCGCAGTGTCACTCTGCCATCTGCTGGCAAAGCCTGAAACGCACTTGGAGCCTGACCTTCAAGTCATGCTCATTTGTCACAGGGATAACAGTTGTGAATGTTTTCACAGATGGCACTTAATATGGACATCTGGGCCAATATATTTCTATTCCCTTGATGATTCATTTTCCAATTATCAAACAATTTTGCTGTGGATTCTGTTCAGTCTGTTTAGTCTTTACTGTGAAACATCTTCACTCATTGTTTAGCAGAGCCAATCATTGATGTAATAGAGTGATTCATGAGCAACATTTCCGCCATCTTCCTCTGCAGAATCATGAGTTTGTGGACGAGCAGACGTTTCAGTCCAACTGCATGGAGATCTCTGTGATGAACAAATCGGGCTCCCGTGCGTCCTCGCTGTCCTCGTCTCCACACGGACTCAGCTCGTGCTGCTCTCGACGCCACAGGAAGAAGAGCAGTTTCAGCTTGCCCAGCACAAACAACCAGGAACTCAGCACCATACAGATAAGAGAAAGGCCAGTGGCCAACAGGTACTCTCTCAGTCTTGCTCTTTTGTCTGTCTCAACATCTCTGTCTCACTTGACTCACTCCACACAAATTCTCTTATGTCTTAGTTTTAAAAACCCTCATTTCATTGAATTAAAAAGATTTTGGAGATACGTGGTTTACCTACTTAGCTCTACCTATACTGGTATCTATCTACAGATAGTTTTGGTTTTATTTATCGTGATTTGAACATATCTGTTTCTGAGATTCTTGCTTCCAACCCAATACAATGAAAGTTAATGGAATTTTGTTGATGGCCCTCAAAGGAATATTAAAAATCAGCATTTCTTTCCTCCAGAAACACTGTGCGTAATACTCTAGATCTCTTCTACGAAACAGCTAGTCCCTTCTCTCTGTGAAAACTGTTAAACAGCTTGTTCTGTGGATTATCCAGAGCAACTGGGACGCTGTATCTAAAGAAGCTGTTGAAATGTTTCGTTATAAGCAGCACAAATAAAATTCCTTTCACCTCTATCACACTAGAATTCTCAGAGATGGATATCTCAGTGCTGTAAAATGTGCTATTTTATAAATTGGTTGAAATGATACCCATTACTCTTGGTGTGAAAAATGTCATACAAAGGTCAAACCATCAAACTATCTATATAGTACCTTTCAGACAAATCTAATGCAATTCAAAGTCCTTTAAAGGCCTGACAAAACATTGACAACTGGCAAAACATAGGATGTTTAAAAGGATTGAGAGACTAATGCGCACCAAAACAGAAGTTAATTGAATAAAACAATAAAAGATGGGGGCATCCCGATAGCGCTCATGCCCAGAGTACTTGCTACAGTGGCAATGGGTTCGACTCCGACCTGTGGCGTGTACTTCCCTCTCTCTCTCTCTCCCTTTCCTGTCACTCTTTAGCTATGACTATCAAATAAAGGCAACAAAAGCTCCAGAAATATATATAAAAAAAGTAGATGGGTGATATATAAAGATAATAAAAATAACAACAAAAATAAAATAATGAAATATACAAAATCAATTGATTAAAGTAAAAATTTTAATTAAGTTAATTATTAAAAATTAAATAGAATAGAATAAATGATGATCAACAGTAAAGTGTTGTTAAAATGAAATAGAATGAACATAACTAGTAATGATGAAAAAAAAATTATAAATAATAAAACTATAAAATTATAAAATACTAGATAAATACTACTTAATAGATAGATAGTTTTTAGTTTACGTTTAAAAAAGCATTTCTGATCAGTAGTCTAGTGCAAGGCCATGTAATGCTTAAAAAACAATACAAAAACGTGTCACCAGTGTAAATACTTTAAGCTTTAAATGTGCTGTCCTTTTAGTCTTAGTCAGCTCTCGTGGAGCAGAATTTTTAATTAATTGTTGTTGATTTACTGTATTCTTCGGTAGACCAGAAAGGAGAGCGTTACAGTAGTCTAGCCTGCTAGTTATAAAAGTGTGCATCAGTCTCTCTGTGTTGCTCAGAGAGAGAAATGGCTTCACTCTTAGATATTTAAAATTAAAATCAGAGTAAAAATGTTTATTTATTGCTTCTTAACCTGGGTTGGGGTTAGGCCTTTGCACCAATGATCAGTACTTTTGTTTTAACCTAGTTGAGCTATAGAAATTGCCTCCAGCCTCCTGATGACACTGCCCATGTACAAATTAAAAAGTAGCAGTCTTAAAATTGATCCTTGCAGTATCCCACAAGTAACCTTATAATATCTGGTGCAGTGGTCATCTATTGATACAAAAAAAAATCTTTAAAAAAGCAATTTAAAAGCAATTCTGGACAAGCCAACATGCCCACTTTATCTGAAAGAGTCTGGTGGTCCACAGTGTCAAAGGCAGCAGTCAAATCTACTGGCACCAGAACTGCTGTCAAGATTTGTTCTGATATCGTTCACCACTTTTAGCAGGGCTGCCTCTGTGTTGTCATGTGTCCTAAAACCTGAGTTTTTGAAGTGTTTGAATTTAAAAAAAGTATTAGCTGATTAAAAACTAGTGTCTAGTGTCTAAATTTCTAAAGTCTAAATAATTTTCTTAAAAAATGGGGGATTTATTATTCTAAAATTACTGGGTGTTAAAATAACCAGGTTCTCTTTCTTTAAAAGGGGAGAAATTGGTAATATTTTTTTTTTTATGAGTATGACTACAATTACATGTAATGACATTAATTTATTGTGTGAAACCTTATTTCACATGCAGCAAGACAGTACACACTGTACACAGTCAATTATACAGTTTATGCGTTTACATGCATGCAAAAACAACACATATATATACAAGATACTCTACATTTAAAAGAGTTGTATTTCAGATACGTTATATTCCTCTGTCATTCTTTTCATATCTCTATGAAAACTGAAATAAACATTCATGAGCAACAAGAGCCAAAGCTATTTTTTTATATTCCCTCTGTACAAAGAATGTGGATATTTCTTAAGTGGCTTAAAGAATGTATAAAATAACTAGGTTTGGTGCAATACATTCACAAGGTCAGGCCTCTCACCCTCCTCTCATCCTTTTTTTTCTTTTACAGCCGCTCCAGCCTGAATGCCAAACTTGATGAGACTGTGCCCTTGAAATGTGACGAACCTTACATCACTCCCTCCATGGTCAGCCTATCTGCCCCGGTGGTGACCTCATCAGACGGCCACGGCTCCACCACCACCACTGCATACTCTCAGAGCAACATTGTCCGAGTATCTGCCTTGTAGATGTCATGCCTATCTGATCAGCTAACTGGTCTCAAGAAGCACCAGATGCTGAGGAGAGGGACCACCGAGCATCAACCTGCCATAATCTAGAGGGATTATAAGATTAGCAGAAGTCGGGGTTTTTTGAAGTAGTGATCTCATCTGATGTCAAACTCTGCATGGTATTAGAGTGATGAATGGACAGCTGCCTTGGAAATAAAAGCAAACCAGCAGATCTTGCTCCATTAAGCACAGCAGAGCAAGGAAGTGTTGGGATTGCGTGGTTATCGTTGTTGCCTAAAAATACTGAGAAAAAACTTTATTTTTGAATATGTAATGTAGTTGTATTTGTTGTCTTCTGATTCAAAGGAGGAAAGGCAGATGTTAAAGGTCACCCTTGATGGCCTCTGATGACAAAGCACACATATTCATTAACTGAGGGCCATCTTTGTGAATATTAAATCAGTCTACTTACATGTTAGAATCATTCACATCTTTCACCACTCAGTTAAATAGATTGTTTTGAAACCCCTCAATTAACTGGTATCTAATAATCCCCCACACAGTTGTAAATTCAGAAACATACATCCACTGGAAGGGAGAACTGTTGTGAATATTCATGAACTGATTCATTAACTGGTTGATGTCATCGCTTGATGAGTAAAATATACTACGCATCCTGACATGTTTGTGAAATGTGCAAGTGAAAGTCAAAATGACAAAAATTTGTGTTAGCTTACATATTTGACATTCTGATATGGATCTTTGTGAAATCCACTGTCATTGATTAACAATTGATATTGAGAACTATACAGGGTACATATTAGTTAGATCACAAGGTAGAAATATAAGTGAATGTTCTCCGCAACACTTAACTAATACTAACCCTAATGTGGACACATACAATTGACCTGGAGAACAGTATGAAAGAGTGTAGAACATTAATCCCATTAAGTTCCTCTTAAATTATAATATTCATAAGCGAGACTTGGTAGATTTCACTGTGTTAAAGGGCCATTTTGTACATTTTTCATATTGTAAATATCTCGGTTAGAACTTTATCAACTGCATTTGAAGTTGGCTCTTCTTATTTCTAGATTTAGTTGACAGTTGTTGGCATACTATTTCTGTCTGTTAACTGGTTGAATTAAGGATTTGCATGCTGTCATTGCAGAATTCTGTTTTATTAAAAGTATGTCTCTTCTTGTTGGAGGTTTATCAGTAAAAATGAGATTGATGGAAGGAAACACAATGAGGCTGGTATGTTGTGATGTAAATTCTGCAACACTTTGCTTTTAATGAAATACAAATCTTGTCATGGAGTACATATATAAGAGGTAAGGAAAAGGGACAAATAATCACACATTGTGCATTTGGTGCAGTGGATAGAATAAATACTGTAGCTCTACTGAAACATCCATTAAATGACCCATGTCTTGTTTTTTACTAGAACACAATTAGATGGATTTCATAATGTTTGCCTGATTACTCTAAGAACATCACTAATAGCAGGATGAGATAATAATTAGGTGCTGCTGGAGAACATGTGAGGACCTGACTGGCCCAGTGGTGGGTCTTGACTGCGGGGTCTCTGGAGAGAGACAAGCAGGCCTCAGTGATTGTTTGACAGAAGACTCAGCAGCGTCCACCCGCTGAGCTGATTGTGTCGGTCCAGGCTGCTTCCCACAGCATGCAGCTGTTTAGAAACTGCTGAGACGTCAGCCAGAATAAAATCTAACTCAACTCAGCAGCATACAAAATAATAGGCCTCCTACACAAATAAAAATTCACACTTTGACGTTTGGGGTTTAATTTAGTTAATATTTGAACAATGACAAGACAAATGTTAACCATTGTATTATTCAGATACATAGTGAATATTGAATGTGGTCATCTGGTCTAGTGCAGGTCAAAAGTAGACAGAAGTGGAGATATTATCAATTCTTATTGAATATGGATTTAACCTTGTTTTTAAGCCTATAAAACTCTGTCCGAAACTGAGGGTTCACTGCAGCATATATTATTGGGTCACTCAATGATGTGATGCAGGCGACAGAGACTGACAGAATCTCCACGTCCCGAATGACTGTTATCTAAAAAATATGATAGAAAATTCAAAAGTGTTAGAGAACAGTAGATATGTAATGACTATCAACCTGTAAAACAGAAGCTTTCAACCTTGGATTCAGAGCGCCACATGTAATCATTTGTTATGTAGACATGGTTATGGACATTTTTGTTTGTTTGTATGTATCTATGTGTTGAAAATACATTGCTGGTGTCATTTTTAGGACTTAAAAGTGAGTTCACAGGCCAGAAACGCTTCCACTACAGCAGTATAAGAGCACAATTATTTACATTTATTAAACATTTTTCACATACAAAATGCCAGTAAAAATTGCACCCCTACCTCTACAACTACTTACCTGTGTATTCTTGTTTTTGTGTATAACAAAATTCATCAGGATGGTTGTGATCAGCGGCAGCCAGAATAAGAGGAAAGTTATAATTATGTAGCCAGCCCGCTTTGCCATTTTACTTTCCTTCTTTTTTTTCGCTCTCTCTTTACTTGCTTTTGAAGGCATCATGCAAACAGCACCTTCCACCTCCACATTCTCTTTTGCAGCTTCTGTCTCAGGGACTTTATTCGAGACTGGAGTTAATGAAGACACTTGATCTACTGTAGCAACAGCAAGCGTTTCTCCCCCGTTGTTGTTCTTAGGTTGTTTTAGTTCACTCAGTAATACAGAATTGGATCCAGGGGTTTCTAACTGTGCAGATGATGCAACATGGGGGCTGGTTTCTTTCATTTCAGAGGGTGCTTTGTCAATTTCCACTCTATCTTTGGACTGCTTTTCTGTGTCGAAATTGCTTGACACCTTCTGCAGCTTTGTGGTTGAGCTCTTAACACTAGCAACAGCATCTCCATTTGATGGGTTTGCTTCAACTTTCTTGGCACAGGGATCGGAGTGCTCTGTTTTAAAAGGCCTCTCCTCAGTCTGCGCTGCAGCCTGCATTGCAGGTGGGCGAGGTTGTTCTGTCTCCAAGTCGGTTAACTCCAGGGTATTTTTTAATTCTGTTTTATTGTCCGAACCGATGGAGACACATTGCAGAGCTTTTGTTGAGGTCAGTAAAGCAGCTGTGGAATCTTTCTTCAATGAATTTGGTTCAGCTTGTGTCACTACTTCCACCTGAGCAACACTTTTGCTCAAGGTTTGGTTTTGCTCCGATTTTTCGCGTCTATTTTCCACAGCTGTGGTTCCTTCTTTCTTCTGATTATTTTCTGTTTTGTCTTTTTTTGAAAGAGGGAAACTACCTTTGTCAAATATTTTGCGATTGTGCGATCTCACAAGGGTAAATATGCGAGTATAGAATCCAATGATGACACCAAAGCAAGCTGCCCAAAGTGGTAACAACATGTAAAGTCCAAATGTGTCGTAGGAGGATGATGTTTTTCTCTGTAAACCTTTGCATCTCACATGCACGGGTGAGTCCTTCACAAATATCAGACAAAACCCAGCCACCACAATAGCCAAGGTCCATGTGACAGGAATCAGCACCATAATCCGTCTTCGCCTCTGAATGGTTTTGAAGGGTTGTGCAATGGCCTGGTGTCTCTCTGCACTTATGCAAGCCAGTGTCAAAAGCTGTATGCAGCAGCTGAAGGAGAAAGATGCCACTTGTGTGTCACAGATCACACCGTCCACATGTCCCCTTTGATACACAGTCACGACGATGGTTAAGAGAATGGGGCAGTCAATGACACACCTCAGAATATCTATAACTGCAAGATTTACCACCAGCGCATTGTTGGAAGTTTGCAGGGATTTTTGGCGATAAACTGCCAGTATGACAAAAATATTTGCTGCAATCCCCACGACAGAGGTGACCAGCAGAATCAAGCTGTTTGCCAACACAAAGGCGATGTCAGTGTATTTCTCCCAAACGGTGCTGTTCCCAGAGTCCCATGCAGGCGCAGGCTCGCTTCTCATTTCCAGGTTCAAAGAGTCAGCATGCTTAGTTCTGTATCTTCACTCTCTCTCTTTACGCAGATCAACATACAGTAAGACTTGTAGGAAAGTGATTCTCCACTGAATGATTAATATTTACGGGTGAACCTGCAGTTTGGACAGATTACTCCAAAGTATCCGCCCTTTTCATTATCACTCCCCAGCAGCAGCAGGTCACCTGGGAGTCCTCGCTGTTCACACTCATTAAAGACTGTGCTGTGTATTCACAGTATAGACAACTGGAAAAAAGGATGGCTGTTTAGTAATTGAAAAGTGCTTGCGTCACTATTGTCTCAATCCTGATGTACAACTTTTAAAAAACCTACCAGGGGCTCAAAGCTGACATGCAATGCTGATTATTATGGCACTGTGTCGCACAGGATATGCATATGAGTGTGAAGTGAACAGCTGTCCGTTTGATTTAATACATTACCACACAAAGGTTAAAAGCTATGCATTAAGCATGCCAGATGGATGACTTGGGAGTTTTTGAATTGGCTAAGGAAATAAAGGGAGCCGTGCTGCTGGATTATAGCATGACATTGTGTAATCCTGTTTGGAGATAAAGTGTGAAATGCTCTTTGCTTCAAATGTGCAAGCTTATGGCCTATGCCAAATCTGGGATTAGATCAGCACAATACATCCTCCTGTCCATTCTACATATTAGACTTATCAAATGTCCTAAAATCATACAGATTAAAAAACAAACAAAAAAAAACAACCTGTAAGTTCGGAAAAGAAACTGTGGTGAAACACAAAACAATTAATTTTAAACTATAACTTTAAACTCAGGATAATATGCACAGAAACAACACAACTATAGAAAACAGCACTGAACAAAGTCAAAGGGAGAATGAACTATCTCTCGATGCTTATGGTGCTTCAGGTGTTCATGTTGGGGATAGGTTGACTGGGTTTCAATCTGACCAGTGAGGGACAGATGTATTTGGGGGGTAGTGCTTTTTGTCAGTTTTTGGAAAAGATAGATTGTCAGATTCAAGGAACATTATTGCAAAGTATTGTGAAAGTTGCTGAATTGAATCACAGTTTAATAAATATAATAAAATAATTTCTCCGCAAAACAAACATTTAAAAAATGAAGAAATGAATCTAAATCTATATAAAATAATAAATAAATCTAAATATCCCTCTTAGACATCAAATCACCGGGGCCCCTGGATAGCTCATTTGGTGGAGCTGTTCTTGTTGCAATGGTCATCGGTTCGAATCTGACCTGTGGCCCTTTGCTGTGTGTCATCCCCTTTCTCCCCCATTTCCTGTCACCCTTAAGCTGTCACTATCGATTATAGGCAATAAAAGGCCCCCCAAATGTATATATGTACATAAGAAATCAAATCACCAAATATTGAACTGTGAATTAAATCTCTAAACCTGACTAAACCTCAGCCAAAAAAATCATGATCCTAATTGTTAGCACAAATTTAACAGTAGGGTAGTTATCTCTAACTGTGTCCTTTTACTTTCATCTTTTCATCTTTATTCAGTGATGCATATTAATCTTTATTTCTGGTGACTCAGTGTACGCTCAGGCATGTGCCACATAAGACACGATGTCCTGGGTTTGAATCAGCTCAGAGACTTTGTTATTATGTCATACTTCCCTGAACTGTTTAATCCCTCTCCGAACTGTCTATAGAGACAAAAGGTGAGATGTTGAGCAAGCTTGCTTGACAAGTGCACCCAAATTTCCCTTGTTTTTTGATTTTGTGGTATTGTACAACTTATTTAAACATTTATGTCATTCTTATGTATAGGCCAGTCTGAAGGAGAGCATATTATGTTGCCGTCGCAATTTCCCTGTAACTGAATAATTGTGCTGAGTAAATCCTGTATTCAGACAGGTGCTTATGTTTAGAATGATGCCTTTATGTACTGCAGCAATCTAATATGTGTTTTGTGCAGCAGATTTCTGGGAAGTGTGAGTGGTGGCAAAAGGCTGGACTTGCATACATTGCATAATCCACGATAAGTACAATTACTTTGCATCGCTGTCAGTGTTGATGACATGATGGAGTTGGCTATTGTTGACACTGATTTCATTTATTTACATAATAACATTACATAGGAAGAGGTGACGTGCAGGACCTTGTGATATCAAAAGGTCTAATTTATATAAATCTTTTGCCACAGAATGCATTACACTGAAAATGTTACACGTTTAAGTGACTTTCAGAAAGAAGGAAATATTCTCAGACTACATGAAAACAGGTTTGGTGTATTTTATTTATGAACAAAAATTCAGAGGTCAAATGTTTTCACTTTTTCTCTGCAGTCCGGCTGTATTTGTCTGTTAAAAATGCATGTAAATGAAGAAATTACAAATGAAAACCACATTTGTCACAAAACCATTTCAGTCAGTGATTTCTGTCCTTTCTTTTTGCCAATGTCCCACATGCATACAGTACACGGCTGCAAACACCAATATGAAAAAAGTAACAGTTTATTGATCTAAACAAATCACACAAATAAAAGCATTTTACGGAATACTCTCATTGTTCAAGAAAAATTAGATGGACAATAACTACAGGAACACCTGGCCTATAATGCCATTTAATAAAATGCCAAAACAAATTAGTTTGTTTCCACTTATTTTGTTCACCTTCTGAATATCATCTATCAGTCTCCGAGCTGATTCCGTTCTCACCGGACTACAGTGACCTTTCTGAGGGACATGGACCTGTATATGTGCAGGTCTGTGTCCTTGACTAGGCACCAATAAACACTGACAACCATTACAGCTTCTTGTTTTTTGCCAGAGAAAGTCACAGAGGCAACACCTTGCTGTGCGAGTTGATGCTCTTGCTCAAGGAAGCCTGCCGGCTTCTCCTGTTCAAGGAGCACATGTTGATGCTGACGCTGGTGGGCACATGGGGAATGTAGCGGCCGCAGGACAGCACCTCCAAAGTGGCATCGCGGAACTGTTGGACACATTAACACCGTCAGGAAGTACATGAGCATGAAGTTCACATGCATTTTAAATATGGGCTTTGTGGGCCCTCAGCCTGTGCATCTTAATTTGTTACAGCAGAAATACACTTTAGCCGCTTACCTGCTTGTTAGAAAGGAAGTAGATGATGGGGTTATAGACAGGACTCGTCTTAGCAAAGTACATAGGCATGGTGGCAAGCAGTGGAGGGATGTAGATCTCTGGATCCACGACTACCACCACTGACAAGACCGTGTAGGGAAGCCAGCAAATAAAAAAAGTTATGATCATGGCCAGGACCATACTAATGGCGTGTTCATTCTCCTTCTGGCTGGAACGCCCACCCTGGAGCTCCACACTTCTGTTCAGCTACGAGCAGAAAGCAAATTTGACTCCCATTAAAAGCTAATAACTTGTTTTAGTCTGTGGGTGGTGAATTGCAAATGGAGGTATGAATTTTAAATCAGGTTCTAATGGTGTAAAAGTGTAATAAATATGCAAATGCCTTCACAAGCTCACCTTATTCATGGATTTGAGCACTTTGTAGTAGCAGTAGATGATGACTATAACAGGTAAAATGAAGCAGAAGAGTGTGTAAAGGATGAGATAGCTGTAGTTGCTCCACGATCTCTCCTCCCAGGCCAGAGAGCAGGAGGTCTGGACTCCTTCAGGTCCGTAAGAGCTCCAGCCAAATAAGGGAGTCACAGCCCAAAACAAGCAGAAGATCCAGACGAATAGCAGCCCGATTAAGCTTCTCCGCATGCTCAGCTTTAGACCAGCACTCATCCTACACACCACGTTGTACCGCTCGTAGGCAAGCAGGGTCAGAGTGCAGAGAGACACCAGACCTAAGAAAGAGAAACAAATTACAAAGAGTAATCTTAGCTTAGAGATTTAAACGCATCATCGGGTCTTTATTAGGGAATAGAGTTTGTTCTGTTGTCATAGAGAACATCTCCTATATCCAGTATCACAACTGGGCAAACTCCATCCACTGAGAAGATCAGGAGATTTTGTTGAAGTTGAATTTCAGAATTACAATGAACTTAAATTCAGAATAAGGCATTTTTCAAACAAGGAACATGCCATTTACAAGATCTGATGACAGTAGAAAGACATTTTCAAAAAGCATCAAACTAAGACAGTTCTGAGTTTAATTGAAACAATATTGCAGAGGATGGATATGTTAGCCATACTCTTCAACAATGAACCACCAGCCACAGGGAAAACAAAACTGATCTCAAAAGTTCATACAACAGAAACTGCTCTTTCAGGAACTTCACTTACCAAAATAATTGACTGCAAATCCTTGAAACACGCAGGCTGCGTGGCCAATGAAGAAAGAGCCTTGGTAGTTGGTGATGGTGACGACTAGGGAGCCGCACAGGCCAATCATGAGGTCGGACACAGCCAGGCTGAGAATAAAAATGTTTATAGGCTGGAGGAGAGACTGATTCCTCAGCATCACGGCTATGGCGACGCCATTGTTAAAAACTGATAACACTGTGTTGATGAACATGAGGAAAGAAAGTATACTGTAGCCCACCCGGGGGAAGATGGTGGGCGCCACAGTCGCCAAAGTCACCACATCGGCGTGGATGGATGGAGGATGAGAGCTGGAGCTCCACGGTGTACTGTTGCTGTCCATGGTGCCTAAATGAAGTCCAGCTTTGGTGAAACAACTGTGAGGCCAGAAACTGAAGCCGGAGACACTCCGCTCAGCTCAGGACACAGCGTCATCGATCTTATCATATGTGATCCCCGTTAAACCACTCCGCTTCTCTTATTTTCCAGGATCGCAGATTGTGCACCTGTCCTGATAGAGAAAGCCCCAAATGCAATATGGGAAATTGGTCCCTAACACGATTTGGAAGGGATAATCCCAATAAACCTACCTGCTATAATGGTGATTGAAAAGTTGAGAGATATTAAGGAGAGATGAATCTTCAAAATCATTTTTCAAATTATGAACTTATTTCTTTCCTTTTGCTGATTATAAAGGGCTAATTGGAAAGGGGGAAAAAGGAGCATAGCGCACAAATCAGACCCAACACATTCAATAAACACATTCCTGCTAATTAAACCTAATTACAGAACAATTATCCAACCACATTAAGTTGATTTAAATTCATGACATAAACATGTGGCAAGGTCATTAAGCCAGTTCCATTTTAATAAATAGTGAAATAAAAATACACTTCAGTACATATTTGAAACTACAGAAACACTGATAACCCATGACGTCTTGGTTGTGGCCACTGGTATTTAAGAATTCCCTTTTCTTCAAATCATTAAAAACTAATATTCCAGCTTACAAATATATTCTCAAGTCCTCATTCCAGCACATGTGAAAACATTTCACACATTTTTTTGTAAAAGTGTCAAACCCACAAAACCCACTGCTGTCTTCACAGATCAAATAGCAACACTCATGCTAAATATAGCAATGATGCTCTATTTTCTCCTGACAGATATTAACATTTCTAACTGCTTAAATAAAACTTACAGGCTGTGTTGTACTGTATTGTAAATACAAATATCTCAGAACATAAATGTGCAATGTGCATCACAATGTGCCGTTCAAAGTGAAATGAACTAAGATGCTGGGTGGCAAAATTTAAAAAGCTTGATTACAATAAATTATATCAGACTATTACAAAAATATATACATTGCAGTAATGTGCACATGAGATTAAGGCAACAAAGTCTGTAATTTAAATGTCTCATCTGAGTATTTGTATTTCACTGACAGTCTCTTGTATAGTTGTGTTACAGAGCTCCAAGATACACTTGATGCGTGACTGCTCCCTATTGTTTAGATTGTGTAACTGCATCATCTTTGTATAATCTCTCACGACCCTTCTCTGTCCCACACACACCAAGACACACACGCAAACCTAAAACAATCAGTGCATTCAATGCTCCAAATTCTGTGTGATAAAAATGTAAAATATATCCATGTTTTAAACATCAAAAATGTCAAAATGTTCCTTCTGTCATTTGGCTGAAAAAGCAATAAACCCACTGTTCTTCTAAAGACTGAATTATTTGAGAGGAAGTATGTAACTAACTACTTTAAAGCTTAATTAACATCAGCAGTTTACATGATTATTACCAATTATACACATCTTAAAATGTGGCATGCATCATCTAAAATGCCATGTCACAAAACTTAAACTAAAGTAAACAACGGAGAACCTTCAATCCTCGTCTTTATTTTGGAAGGTCTTCCTCCCTCTCTAATCGGAATTGGTCCTGTTGAGCTGCGAGGAGACGCTAATACCAGCAGGACTGTGTTCAGGCCAGAAGGGGGACTCGTGCTGCAGGGGAGTACGGCGGGGGAAAAAGGTGTGCTGGAAGTCGTAGTTGAGCAGGCAGCTGATGGAGGCCATGTAGATGTCAGCAAAGCGTGAGAGTCGGCGTGAGAAGTAGGTGGGGTTGTGGTATGTCCGGAAGAGACTCCCGAACTGACCGTTGAAGATGTCCTTTGTCTGCGACCTGCCATGAAAACACATTTATACCATCAGGATAAGGTTATCTATCTATCTATCTATCTATTCATATCTATCATCTCTATCTATCTATTCTATCTATCATATCTATCTATCATTCTATCTACCATATCTATCTATCGATAGATAGATAGATAGATATCAATCAACCACAACTGGGCACCCTGGTGGTCATATAATCACTTGCTGCCTAATATATCCCACCCAGTATATATATATATATATCATATATTATACTACCTCATGGCTTCTCTTTCTCTGATCCACTCATCGACGACAGCTTGAGATGCTGGATCCCTGTGGACCTGTTGGGGAACAGTGCATAGAAGTTAAAGGAGGCACCCGGATAGCTCACCTGGTAGAGCGGGCGCCCCTCTCTCTCCCTCCCCCCTCTCTTGTCACTATCAATTAAAGGCAATGAAAGGCCTAGTGTGTAGGATTTAATGATATCTAGCACTGAGATTTCAGACTGCAACAAACTCGCCTTACTCTCCCCTTCCAAGCGGCGAGAAACTGTAGGAGAAGAACACGAAAGGCCCTGTCTAGAGCCAGTGTTTGTCTGTTCTAGGCTATTGTAGAAACATGGTGGACTCAATGGAAGACCAGCCTCTGTAGATAAAAACGACTCATTCTAAGGTAATTATACAATAATGAAATTAATGAAAGCATACTTATAAGCATTATATGCCACTACTGTCAGTAGATCCTCCTAAATGTTAAACACTGGACCTTTAAAAACAGAAATTTCAGGGTGGAGGCAAAAAGCAAAAGACAGACACAAATGTTTTTATGAAGTCTCCTGACCTGCATCTGTTCGATAAGTCCAGTCAGTGCCTGTAACCAGGCCATCATGTGCATGTACTCCTCCGTGTTCATGATCTTGATCTCCTTCCTGAGCTCAGGGATGATGGCGCCCGTCCTCCAGCCATGTTTCAGTGTCAGATCCTGCAAAACAAGGAACAGACGAACAGTTTTTACACGCAGGAATGCAGCAATAATAAATTAAATGGAGTGCTTCAAACAATTTCACAATGCTGACATTCCAATACGCAGTGAATGTAGTAGTACAGATAAAATGAAAGAAAATAGACTTGCAGTTATGTGCATAAAGCTCAAGAAAAGACTGACTCAATCTCATCCTTGTTGCGTAATTCTGACTTTATTCTCAGAATTCTGACTTTAAGCTCAGAACTCAAATATTTTTATTAAATGTGGCCCTAATCCTCTTCTGTAATTAAATGTGGTCTAAGATTAGGTATAAAGAATTACATTCTTCAGTTATTTTAGTATCTTTGTTCAATTTCAAGCATTTGCTCAGTATCTAACTATGTGCATCTTCTAACAGAACCTTAAGACTGAGACTGTTGCATATAGGGATTAATTTCCAGATACACTGGATTTAAATGGAGCATGGTCAAAGCAGGGCTCCCCTCATAATATCATAATCTTTCATACTACAGTGTTTTGTGTAGTTATAATGAGTCTTTTGTTTGAATATATGCCATGGATGCTGCTTACTGCCAAGTCACTGTAGATGTGATCACCAAAGTAAAGCACTTTGGATCCTCTCCAGCCAGTGAGTCTCAGGAACTCATAAAGGTTTCCCTACAGTGATCAAACACACACAATAAAAAAATAACAAATCAACCATATATTTTTATAAGGTGTATGGAGGAGAAATTTGTCAAGACTTTTATACTGGCATGTCATTCTCTGGCACAACACCTGTTTGTAGATCTTCCCTTTTTCCAATTTGTGAATCCTGTCCCACAGCAAAGCACCTTTGTCTGTCACTCGCCTGAAAGGTCTGGGAAAAAATACACACAAACAAATCTTACCCACTTATAATATTGGCAGCTCCCAAACATACATAGCCTAATCTTCTGTGCACAAATAGTTGACAAGCTCCACTGGTAACGATGTGGGCCAGTGAGGCCCTTAATGCGATAAAAGAGACACAGCATGGACACAGTAACTTACTTTCTCCTGTCATTGAAGAAACCAGGTTTGTCGGCCTGAACAATCACAACATCGAAGAGGTCCATCCAGTCCTTCCCTACAATGTAGTGCATTCCTCTGTCCCTGAGAAGGACAAATATTCGAGACATTACCTAGTCAGCAACATCTTAAAGCTCACCATGAGGGTGAAAAACACTTGAGCTGAGGGCACAACGATGCACCAGCATAATATAACATAACATGTCTATCTTGTACTCTGTTAGTATGACTTTAAATTAAACTGCCATATTACTGTCTGCGTGGTTGTTCCACGTTTGATGCAAAAAGGTGAATGGCGTGCACATCCAACCCCAGTACCCCAGTATAGGTGGACAAAAACAGCAATAAAGGAAAAGGAGAGGCTGTCTGTACACTGACATTTTCAAGCTTTTTAAAATGTGGATAGATTGTAAACATGTATGAAGAATATAGCTCCAGGAGGAGGTCAAGGTCAAAACTTTGGAATTTGTGTGTGTGGACAGCCTCTCTTTTTGACTGAACGTAACAAAATATTACATCAAGGACATAGGTTTCATGTTTTTGGGCTCTGGAAAGCCTTTTGAGGTTGGATATGCATAGCTGGTCATTTTGGGCAATCAAGCCTGACTTCAAAAGAGGCTCATAGTCAATGACTTACAATGAATTACAAACACTGGCGGACAGAGAGCCCTTTGATGTTTCCCATCTATAAAAATTTGAACATTACACAGTAGCACAAATTAAATATTAGCATGCCGATATATGACGTTTTTATTGAATCATGCAGACAACCACGTGCACTCTGTTTGCTCACACTTACACAAAGTCAAATGGGCTATTGGTAATGAGGAACATCTTTTTTCCTTGCTCTGACAGCTTCTTCAGCACAGCGTGACTTTGCTCACCATAGCAGATGAATTTCTCTGGAAAATAAGAAAACAGAGGAAGAATGAAGAGGTGGGGTGTGGGGGGGTGATACTGATATAACTTGCACAAACAAAACTGCACTGCTTTTTATTTGTATATCACAGTCTCATTATTACTAAGCTCCTTTTTTTATTTCCTGGCAACTACTCAGATGTTGCCCCATAATTTCTTTTATATTAGCTCCAACAAAGTAAATAAATCAAAGAACATTACCAATATCTGCCTCCACCGC